GGAATCGAATGAGGCAGGTGGCAGACAGAAGACAATCAGAGAGGACATTTTTGGTAGGAGATTAGGTTTTTCTAAAGCTTCAACCCTACAAGCAAAGCAGTGTCATGTACAGGAAGCATTACAAGCTAAATCCCAAGTATTATGGTTTTTACCAAATCCTTGAACGTATTGGAGCAGTTGCCTACAAGAGGTGTAGTGCATCCTGTATTCCATGTCTCGTTATTAAGAAAAAAGGTGGGAGAGATCGCCATTGTTTCTTAAGCTCTGCCCATCATAGATAATGAGGGTACAGTTAAAGTGTACCTAGTTACAATACTGGAAAGGAAACTTATGAAGAAAAGTAATGCAGTTGTGGTAGCAGGTTTAATTCAATGGTCGAGTTCATTCCCTGAAGATGCTATATAGGAAGAATTGACAGAGCTGCAGTTACAATTCCCAGATTTCAGTATTGATACGTGACCAGCTTTAGATTCTTAGGACAAGAATCTTGAATGGAGGGGTACTATTACATACCTAGAAGGAATGCAGTATATGGGCAAGCTAAGGGTGGTGTAGGATTAGTAGCTTCTACAACACGTTAGCAAAGGGAAGACTAATTTTGTTAGTTGTTAGTCAGAGTTAGTTATATATTGTTACAGCTGTCATAGGTAGTTAGAATAGTCAGTTAGTAGTTAAATTCAGTTGCTATAAAACCATGATGAAGGTTATCAGTAAAAAACAGAATATAGAATACAAAAAAATTCAATCTCAACTCTTCTCTCTCGAATTCTTTCTCACAAATTCTCTGTTCTTCATCTCTTTCTTCTTCACTTATTAAGAAACCCTAACAGTTGGCTTTATTAGAGTTACAATAACTATCATATAGATCATGAGGAGCCTTTGGTGGAACAAACAAAACAGCCTTGAATTCAACATCACCTTCTGCAGTGAAGTGACTCCATGCCAATGGCTTCTCTTCGCCAAAATCCTTTCCTAGAGAGTGGTAGAATTTTGTGTACTGCTCTTGTCACCTCCTTTGGATTTCTCAACCATAAAGCCTTAACATCATTCAAATTCCCCCACTCATAAAAAGTCTCCTTCATTTTTTTGGTTTATCCTCTACATCCTCATCTTCACTTTTCTCATATTCTCCTTCATCATCAAAAGAGCTGTTTTTAGTTGTTTCATCTTCATCACTAGACTCATCTTCATCTACATCAACCTCCACGTCAACCTCTTTACTTGCCCACAAATAGATTGGAAAGTTGATGAATTCAAAATATTTCTTCACCAAATCTTTCAATTTACTCTCTTTAAAGTACTCTCCAACTTCTTCCCAGAGATGCAATCTCATCTCAGTTCCATGTCCCAGAGGCTCATTCCAAGTATCCTCAGAGATTGCAAATGCTCTGTCGACCTTCAACTCCCATACATATTGTTTGTCTTCTTTACGCTTGCTAATGAGTTTAAAATAGTTAGTAACAAGATATACAGATTACAATTTCCCACTATGCTTGCAGCTCAGCATTCCACTTCTTGCTTCAACAGTCTTCCCTGTAATCTCAAACAATAATTCTGGTGTAGTGGTTAAAACAGTTGATAAAAACCTCGAGATCACACGGTCATGCAACCCATAACACGGTTAACGACAAATCTTGAAAAGCTTAAATAAGTCTAATAGGAGTGACACAATGAAAACTTGTTCCTAGACATCAGTATTATTGAAATAAAAACCCCCACCCTATGAATAACAATTCGCAAATAAGAAGTATATCCTGCCATGAAGCCAAATAATCTTTAATAAATCAATTTAGTTCATTAGAGAATCAAAGAATACGAGAATCTCTCTCAAGTCTCAATATTTTGTTCTTACAAAGAATATTTATACTTTTGAAAATAAAAACCTTAATAGATCTACCATTTTGGGCTAAATTGACTATAACCTATGTTAATAAACCCGAATGTTTGAAACCAAACAAGCTTTGGGCCATAGTGGAGAACTAATTTTAATTAAACCTAAACAAGGACCTTAACTAATTAATCAAACTCAAGCTCAATACGAACTAAGCCCATTAGAAGCAATGGCAAGGCTCCTGACCCCATTAAATAGTCCAAATAAAAGCTCAAAAAAAAAATCCATAAGAATAAATTATTTTTGTTGCCATGAGAGGAGAAGAAAACAAAATAAATATGAAACAAGGCTTTATATAAAGCCTTATTGCCGCCATATTTGTCCTTAGAAACAAGAAAACTTGTTGCCTCTTACTTTTTTATTTTGGAGAAGTTTTTGCCACTTGGATATGGAATCCTTCCAAACTATGGATAATGGTTGTTGTCATAAATGCCTCATTGTTTGACATGAGATCCTTGTAGAATAGATAAGCCAAAAACTATCATACATGCATCCAAGAGCATTAAGGAATCCTTGTATTGACTAGAATCCATAATACACAAGGAAACAGTGTTTCTTCAATTTTCACACATTCCTGATAGATTTTAGTTCTGAATTCAAAGTTCAAACATGTTGTTTTTTCTTGTTTGGATAAATTAGCAAGCCCATCATATATCACTTTAGATATAGTCCAAACAATAGACAAAGCTCCAAATAGATAAATTTAACAAGATTCGTCCAGTAACTTCGACCCTCTAAAATAATCTATTTCCAAACTCTAATTGGCCTAAAATTTTAACCCAGCGTAGAACAGAATTGTAACCCAACAACACTGAAAGAATTTTGACCAGTAAATTTACTAGAAATTAGAGGTGGACTGGAAGATGAATATGGAGATGGGTTAGGAGAAAGAGATCCCTTGTTTAGACTTGAACTATTGGAGGTGGTGCCCTTTGTTGCCTTTTCAGCAACCCAGCAGCCTTGTAGGGGTAGAGACCCCCTTCCAACTTGTGAAAAAATCAACCTATTTTGATTCATCGACCTAAGAAGAAGATCCTTAATCTCCCCAAACATGTCTCAAGGCTTAGTATCAGTTGTCATGTCTTGGGTCCAACAATTGACCGCTCTCATACCACTTGTTGCGTGTCTAATTGAGCGGGAACCAATTTAGATAACATCCAGAGGTGCCTTAGTGATGGAAATGGTTGGTAGCCAAGTTCCACTCATGTTGTTTATAGGTTAGTGAGAAACTAAAAGAAAGGGAAGATAGAACAGAATTCCATGAATTTGACTCAATGTTCATTCATTGTGATTTTCCCATGCTCTCTATTCTATTACACTCTTATAGCTGCAAAATAACAATAGCATGTCCTTATTTCCCAGGGTCCCTTAATATTGCTAAGATAGCCAAGCATGGCAATTCTTGTAACTAAAAGAGAAGCTAAAACATTGTGTGTTGTTTAAAAGAGTAAATATCATTTTTTTTTAAAAAAAAAATCTGCTGCTGATTTTCTTTTCCCTTCTCATGCATCCCATCTCCTAAATCAACCAGCAACATTTGACTTCCCAAACCTCCTCTCTCTCTTCTTGTTGAGTTCTTGCAAGTGCTAAGGAAGCCAATTGCAAGATAACAGAGGAGGACAAGAAGAAGAGCAAGAATAGGGAAAAGAGATTGGAAGAATCACTTCCATCAGTTCACCATCACCACCCATTTCAAACTTCTAAAGTATTAAAAATCCTAAATAATCAAAGTTCATATAATAATAATAATAATAATAAACTATTAAATTGATAAGTAATTCATGTATCAATCATTATATTGAACTTTTAAAGTATTAAAAACCCTAAATAATCAAAGTTCATATAATAATAATAATAATAAATAAAAACTGCCAATTTAAATCCCATAATCTTTTTTTAGTTTTTCATTCCCATTTATTAAATTTGTAAAACAAAAACAATCTTTTTCTTTTTCTACTCTCATCATGAGAAGGTGAAATCTTCCATCCAACTCTTCTTGTATTATTAGGAGCCTTGCTATGCAGGTTTAATAGTTGTGTAAGAGTGGTGGTTTCCTTAAATAATTAATTAATTTCTGGCTTATAAAAGAAAATTATAGTGGTGTCCCTTTATATCTTAGAAATGATCTAAAACATAATTGAGCAAAATTGCATAATATATTTATGGGATAATTACAAAAAACTTCTCATATTTTCACTGTCTTTGTTCTTTTGAAAAATACACATCCTGGAGTTTATATGATCATAACAGTTTACATCTAAGCTAGCACAGAAGGGGAAAAAAAAGTTAACAAAAAAATGTTAGATCATTTGGAATATTGTCATTATATCCCATTTAATAACTAGAGCCCTTGCAACATTAATATTACAAGTTTGTCGTTGAACTAAAAACACCTTTGCCACCATGGCTAACTTCTTCTTTTTCTTCCTTTTTCTTTTCAATCTTCAACAAGCCCACAAGAAATAATTGAAGCCAGAATGAATATGAGTGGTTTGGCCCCAAAATTTGATCAATTTTTTAACAAAATGATTGCAAAGCAACATATTGACCTAACCATTAAACACAAAGACTTTATTCCAACTCTTACTCTTCAACAACTAATCAATCGCTAACTTTTGCTATAGCAAATTTGTCATAGAGATCTTAAGTTGGAAAACACCCTCTTATATGGAAGCTTACCATTGCCGTCGTAAGATATGCGACTTTGGCTATTCTAAGGCAGTGAACTTAGTAATTCACCTTACATTGAAGACATTAATTGTAAATCTAAATAATCAATGTTTTAACCCTATTTTGTGCAGTCTTATATGTTGCATTCCCAACCCAAGTCTACTGTGGGAACAACAGCCTATATTGCTCCAGAAATCCTATCAAGAAAGGAGTATGATGTGAAGGTATTTAAGACCATTCCAATCTTGTTATTGTTTCTCTTTCTGGACCAATTTGGTCTTCTAACATCCAATATTACTATTTGGCTTCGCTGTGGACATTGTTTTTGCATTTGGCAATCACAATAAGTGTCAAAGCATGGGATGTAAGTGAATCACAATCTTGAGCAATGCAAAGGATAACAATCCATAGTAAAAAAAAAAAAAAAAAAAGCTAAGCATAGTAGAAGCATCGCAGCAACTAAACCAGCCTTGAAAAGCCATTCCAATTAGAGGAAAGACATAGGCGAAAGTGAATGAAATAGCAAACAGACAGTGCCAATATTGGTTAAGCCAGAGGTATCGCAAAAAAGAAAAATAAAATAAATGCAGTGCACAAAGCAGAACAGAATGTGTTCTATGTGTTCAAAACGAAAGCAGAGAATAGAAGCACTGGAGTGAAAACCATGCAAATGCAAGACATGCTCCTGGACAAAATGATTGTTATCAAGGCAATGTAGGGGGGGGCAATCGATCCTGCATAAGTAAGGCTTTATAAGATGGTAAAAGCATGAAAGGAACAAATTCGGAAAGAGTTAACTGTGTAGCATGTGTAAGAAAAATCAAAATTGATTGGGAGGGAACTCTGTAGAAAACAATGCATACGCATTATTTAAACTGCCACAAACAAACTCATAAGCCAAATGTAAAGTGGATGGTGGCTTGGTTTGCAACAATCATAAAAGAATTTGTTAGGAGAGGCTAGGGAAGAGGAGATTTCAGGGGGTAACTGTGTTTGAAAGGTTTCTGTGAATTAACCAACATCAGATACCTATAAACTAATAAATCAGTCCTGTTTCTTTAAGACACTTCAAGGTGAGTCAATTTGGAAAAGGCAATATAAGAGACACTGACAGCACTGAGCATATCATAAGTGCAAACTAAAGATGGCAGAATAGCATTTGGGGACATAGATCTTACCGAATAAAAAAATGCACCTATCACTGCAACGACAGGGATGGATGTTGTTTCTTGTTTGGTGGGGATTAACTGGGAAGCTGTGTCGGGCTGAGATCATCCTCGCACTGATCACCTTCCTCAGAAATCGTGGTCTGGACCTCAGTTGTGAGACTGCAAGTAGACAATCTAAAAAGAATTATTAACACACCATACAAAGGAAAGAACACTCAAAGCATTATATAGGAACGAAAAGACATTTATGTGTGAGAATCAGACCTGGACATACATGTGGTTGCTGCTTGAAACAGTGCATTCAAAGTCTAGCTTCCTCTTAGTTCTAGGTATATGAGTCTATGTGGCAGATGACACAGCTGTAAAGAATGTTGGTGTCAGGATGTTTGGAGGTTGATGGCAACATCAGTTTAGGGGCTGAGTTTGTTGTAGCTGTGGGTCCAAATGATCTGGATGGTTTATGTAAGATGATGTTCTATAAAAAATAAAAAAGGCAATCACCAACATCAATTTTTTTTCTCCCGAAGTACCATAATTAAACTGTCTTGCGTAGAGATGATTATATATAATTTGTTCATTCCAAACTTCTATTCCACATCACATAAATGTGGCTCAATGAAAAATAAATTTGATTCTAATGAATAAACTTATTAAAATTGAACTGTAGTTCAACCTAGCTGCAATGATCAAACATCGATATTTTGATAACATTCGCATGCTCATTTAATGTTAAACAAAAGAACCCTCATCATTCATAGATCATTACAATCCCATTTTAAAAGAGTCTTAGAACATATATATTAATCCAAACCTACAAAGCCATGTACATTAAATTAAATGGTGTTTTTCACACATTGTCAAGAAAACTTGCTAAACCATACATAGATTTATAATTTGGCTAATAGATTTGATTAAAATAAGAATGAAGGATGATTTTTTTAACTATGAATAACTGTATAGTCTTAAACTCCTATAAACAAAAAGTTGTTGCTTGCATATCCTGAGCTGTTTTTAGTTATTGGTAAGGATTCATAAATCAACGGCCTACTTTCTTGAATAGTTAGCCCATTTCAACACAACAACAAAGATTTTTTATATGAAATGTATAAAAAAAAAAGAAAGAAAGAAAGAAAGAAAGACGTGTTAGCATGTATAAACCATGCCAGTTATGGATGATCCTCGGTATGTATTTGATAAAAAAAACAAATGTATTAGAAGACAAACATGATTGACTCACCACCCACTATCCTAAACGAATTGAATTGTTAGCACATGCTTTGAAAGTTAAAATGCAAAGAGAGTAAGGAAGAGATGGTAAGAATATGACATATGATGAAATGCTTTTGTTGCTATCCATTCCTTTCCTTCCACCGTTGAACTTCTAACTGAATAAGATGTCTTCTGCGTGTTAATTTGTCTCAACAACAAAACAGTTCATGCCATCCACGCTATCTTATCTTTTGTGTTTTGTTATCAGCAATTAAACTTGTTCCTCCAGTTCCCTATATTACTATGGGGGTTCTTAAACTAATGGCAGCAAACACGGAATGACCCCCTCCTTCCCTCAATCAAAGAAATTAAAAAACAAAAACCAACCTGGATTAAACGACGCAGCAAGAACAACGCATATAAAAGCAGGAGCACCGGCTAATTGAAGGAGTCTACAAGTTGTGGGCTGACCACCTGTTAAGAAATCCCCTTGTCGTAAGGCTCCAGAAAATATAAGAACCAAACCAAACAGAAAGAAGATCGACACAAACCTGTTTGAGCTCGAACTGGATTCCCGAAACGCCAAAATAAACGTCCAGAGAAATGCAGCACAAAAAACAAACGAATCTAAAAGGCAAGGCTGAAGCATCCAACAAAAGCACAGACTTTTTGGAACATGGAAGAACAAATCTCCAAATCTACAAACATATACTGGGAAGATAACACACGTAAAATACAAAATGTGTAAGCATTAAGAGAAGCAATAACTGGAAAAATCCAAACAAAACGAGAGGAACATGGAAAAAAACACTAATTTGGTTAGGAGAAGGTGTTAGATTTGAATCGTCCGTGTAACATTGACAAAAATTGAACATGAACGAATAACTTTGCAAGAGAAAGGCTTACCCCGTTGACATGGGCTATGGATTCCATTGCATTCTAACTCTCCAGTTCTTTAGCTAGCAAGGGCTATAAATTTCATTAATTCAACTATTTAATGTTTTTGGCTCCAATGTTATTTTTATTATCAACCCTATAACAATTAATACTTTTTTTTGATACTCGACATCCTCGTCTCCGGTACACAAGCATCGCCGGCACCACCATCATTGATGTTAGGCGCGACTCCCTTATCATATTTTCTATCTGTCTGCTCGACGCCTCCATCTCATCTCTTTTTTGTCACTTTGGCTTAGAAAGAGGATGTGTGTCGAACACCGCCATCACCATCACATCTCCAACCAGTAACACAAACAGAAAGGCATCCTCTCTGCCTCCGATGTGTCTCATTTCTATCATTCTTCTCTTGAAGAAGGCATATTTATGTTTGCATTTTAAAGGTATTTAAAAAAAAACAAAAAAAAAAAACAAAATATGTTTTTGGTAATTTTTTTTATTTTTAAATCATTTTAATATATTAATATTAAAAATAATTTTTAAAAAATAAAAAATATATTATTTTAAAATTTTTAAAATTAAAAACACTTTAAAAAAACAATCACAACTCCACTCTATTTAAATCAGAGTTTTAAATTTGTTTTTTAATATAAATTTTTTAAAAATAAATTTTATAAGAATTATTAAATTATTTTATTATACTAATATTAAAAATAAAATTTTTAAAACACTCTTTTTCTTAGTAAAAATATGGTATTTGAATATTTAAAAAAAAAACCTCTTTATCACCCATCTTTTTCTTTTGGTTAGGAACAAAAATTAAAAATTAAGGTCTGTTTATTTACTAGAAAGTAACTTTTTTATAAAATAGTTTTTTTGAAAAATAAATTAATTTTTTATGTTTAATAGTGTGTGATGGAAAATAAATTAAAAAATAATTTTTAATGTTTGGTTATATTAAGAAAAATAAGTCAGAAAATAACTTATTAATATTTTTTTTCAAATTTATTAAAATAATGAGATATAAATCTTATAAATTAATGAGAATAAAATTGAAAAGAAATCTAATTTATTAAATTATCTCAAATAAAATAAAAAATAATCAAAATATTAGAGATTAAATTTAACATATAAAAAAATTAAAAGACAATGAAATTAAAATAATAATAATAATAATTTTATAAATTATTTCAAATAAAATAAGTAACAATCAAAAGAATGAGGATCAAATTCGAAAAAAAAATAAAAAACAAAAAACAATCATAAAAATAAAGACCAAAATTAATATAAAAATCAAATTTTAAGAGGTAAAATTGAAAAAAAAATCAAAACAACATATATGGCAATCAAAAATTTAAAAACTGAATTTGTTATAATTATCAAATAATATGATATTTCTAAAAATTTATAATTTTTTAAATGTGTTTTCCGTCTAAAATAAAAGAAAACACTTTTCTATAAACCAAGTTAAATTTTGTTATTGAAAAATATTTTTTGTTGATTAATTTTTATAATGGAAAATAAATATAAAAAAATTAAAAAATATTTTTTTAAAAAATATTTTATATCAAATAAATAAGGTATTAATGTTGCAAAAGAAAAAAGAAAAATGCAATGAATCAAGTAAACTTAACACTCTTTTTTTGTAATATAGGGTTATTTGGCTTTTTATAATTATTATAGATTATTAAAGAAAACACTAAAAGTTATCACTAAAATTTTGTGCATTCTTTCATATTTTAATATGGATTTATTCTTTATTTTTTTAATTTTTTTTTGCACAATTATATCTTTTATAGCTAATTTAAAGGATACTAGAATTAAATTTGTTAATTAAAAACAAAATTAAAAGACAAAGCTAAAATAAAAAATATGTTATAACTAGATGGTATTTTTAAAGTTATCACAAAGGTTTATTGTTGTCCTCTAGCTTTATAAATTATTCGGTTCCTTGATAGTTTTGCGAAATCAATTTTGATATAAAAATTTATTTTTTTATATTTTATTTTTAAGTTTGTAAAAGGAAAGATAATACATAATTTCAACAATAGAAAGAGAAAAGCGACAATAACACCAATTACAATCACTAAAAAGGTTATTTTATGTGTCCGCTTGTTTACACAGCAGCTTTTACTTTAAAAAAAACCACACATGTTGAATGATTGGTGATGTTAAAACACATTTTATTGTTCACGTGGGATCCATACAAAATTTGTTTAAATCGCAGGTTTGCAGAAAGCAGCTAACAACTACTTCCCCGCAATCTATGAACAGTGGAGAGTGATTCCATTGTTATGGCCACTGTTTCAGCTGGATCGAGTCTAGTCCAAAGCTAATTGCATTGAACCGGGTCCAGTCCAGTTAAAAAAATTAGAAGAAGATCGCTTAATGACATAGTATTTGCAGAATTTGATTACAATCCTGATTTTGTTCTTGGTGATATTTTATCTAATATTGTTGCGCGCTTTGAAAATCAAGGAAATTGTAGTCCTTGTCGAATGAATTTCCTACGCGATGAAATTATAGATAGTTTAATGTAATAATAAAAAATATTTTATATAAGTATTATTTATTTCATGATATAATAGTAGTAAATAAATCTATAATATTTAAATTAAAAATCATTGATATTGATATATATCTTCTTTAATTATTTTATAATCTCAATTTGAAAAGCATTCTTTTAACCAAACACATTAAACTATTTTTTATTCAACCTCAATTTCAATCACAATTTTAACCAAACATATATAAATATCAAACTAACTTGAACCAAAAATACATTTTATAAAATAATTTTTTTCAAATCATAACCATAAAAACTACAATAATACCGAACACACATAAAAGAGTCTACTTATATATATATATTATCTTGAAATTGCTTAAAAAACAAATATAAGCTTTCAAAGATCCTTTATTTCTAGTTTTTGTGTTGTTTTTTTTTTAGCTTATTAAGCCATATAGGAGTTTATCAACGTTTAGGCTCTTTCCTAGATATTTTGGGTTAAAATTTATTGAAAAATAGGTTTTGAATAAAAAACATAAATCATATTTTTCCATTCACCATAATAGATGAAATCTAGAAAATACTAGGCAACACATTGTCTAGATTTTGTTTTCAAAAAATATTGAGCAGATGACAAGTAATTGTTTAAAAAAATGACTAGCGCGAGCAATTTCTAACTCTTATTTTACTGTGATTTTTTATTTAAAAAAATGGTTCCTTTTATGTGTTTTTTAAAAATTATATTTAAATTAATACCTTTTTTCTTTGATTTTCTTATTTTTTGTATTTATTTTTTTAAATAGTAATTTTTTCAATTATTTTATATATATTTAATTTCTAGAAAGATCATTATAATTCATCTATAATTTTTTTATGTTTTATATAATTGAAATTTATTTTAAATAATAAATAATATTTATTTTTGGATAATATTTCTAATAAGTATAACTTTGCGGGATATGCTTTTTCACTTAAATTTTATTCAATCAATTTTAAGTAGTTTGTTGCTGGTATATCTTTTTTTTCCCTATTCTCTTCTCTCTCCTTTCATCAAAAAATTAAAGTTTGACCCTCTTTATTGTTTGTATTTTAATTTTAGTCCTTATTCTTTTAAATTCTATTTTTTATTAGCTATTTTGTAAAAAAATTATTTATTTTGAATTTCATTATTCAATCTCAATTTACAAATACTATATTTTTCAACTTGGTCCATATTCTTTCAATTTTTAATTTTTTTCTTGGTCCTTTCATAAATTTTATTTGTTTTTAATTTTATCCTTTAATCCAAATTGATATTGTTATGTTTTTTTAACTTGATCCTCATTATTTTTATTTCTAATTTTTTCTCTTAACTCTTTTGAAAAAGTTATTATTCTTTTCATTTTCACCCTTCAATTAAAGTTTTGGCTTCTAATTTTTTCTTAACTCTTTTGAAAAAGTTATTATTATTTTTATTTTCACCTTTCAATCAAAGTTTTGATTTTTAATTTTTTTCTTGGCCTTTATGTAAAATTTATTATTTTTTCAATTTCACCTTTCAATCAAAAACTTATTTTTAATTTTATATCAATTTTGATCTTCATTCTTTTGATTTTTTCGGTCCTGTTGCTACATGGATTTTTCTTTTTACTTTCACCCTCTAATCAAATATAAAATTTATTTGATATATGAATTTTGATCCTCATTCTTTTAATTGCTATTTTTTGAACCTTTTTGTTTAATTGAAGTTTTTTTTTAAAAAAAATTCATCATTCATTATTTGATTGATTGAGAATCGAACTTCATGGAACCCGAGTGATGGATTTGAAAGTTAACATGATTTTTCTTTTAAAGAAAATAAGGCTATATAATTAGCTTTATTTTTTTACTGAATTATTTTAATTTTATAATTTGAGTCATGAGTTTAGTAAAATATCTTGAGTTGGTTTGGATTTTGTATGATTTTTTAAGTCCATTGATGAGCTTATCAAAATGTGATAAACAGACCAAGTGTATATTGATAAATATGACAAGTATAAAGGATAAAAAATAATATTTTTTCCTTAAAAGATGTAAGGAAAAAAAGAAAAATTACAAAATAATAAAGATAAGAAAAAAATAAGAGTGTAAATAGAAAAAAATATAAAGTGATAAATATGCCAAGTGTAAAGAATAAAAAATAAAAAATTGTTTTCCAATAAAAAGTGTGAATGACAAAAAAAAAAATTCCAATAAAAAGTGTGAATGACAAAAAAATTTTTTATAAAAGATTGAAGATAAGAAAAAAATATTGATAAATAGACCAAGTGTAAAATAATAAATATGTCAAATTCAAAGGAAAAAAAGGGAAAAAATCTAAACAAAAAATTTTTTATGAAAAAAATAAAAAACAAAATTACATATTAATTTGCCATAGTTACATTAAACAAATTAGAAAAATTTATAAAATCATATTTTCTACATGGAAAATGACATTTGCTTTTAGTTTCTTTACTATTTTTTTCTAGCACTACAATATGGCCATATCATTTTATTATAACTTGTCTTTTTTAAAAAAAGTTAAAATGTTAGGAAGTAAAAAGTTTGATGTATAATGAACAAAGAATTTTAAAAATATTAAGATAATAATATATTAGATGATATATTTTTTTAATAAATATTAAGATATCGACATGCTAGATTGACCAAGGCTAATCATGCTTAATCTGTAATACTCTTGATCAAGGACATGAGTCCGTGATAACACCATGAAATTCAAATCAAAATAAATTAGGAATCTCAATTCTAATTAACTAAATATTGAAGGCCCAAAACAAATAAAAAATTCACTTAAAAAAGTCTAAAAAAAATTACTCAAGCAAACTTATTCGCTATGACGTGACTTAGACTAATATTTTTATAGAAAAAAGAAAAATTCAA